GGGCGGGGGGCAGGCGGCAGGGGAGGGCGGCCTGACACATCCTGACTCACCCTCCCTGCCTGCCTTTTCCATTCCGACGGAGCCGGCTGCCTCGCAGGGCTCACGCCGCCGCGCTCGGAGGAGGGCACGGAAGGAAAAGTTGGAAAAGTTGAAAAGGGAAAGGGGGGGGTGGTCGGAGAGGGGCTGGTGAGGTCATTGTCGTCCCCTCCCTCCACCTCCTCGGCCGGCCGCCGCCGCCGCCGCCGCCGCCGCAGACACGCGCAGCTCAAGAGCTGGGGCCTGGCTGCGGGGTGGGGGTCCGGCTGGACCAGGACAGGCAGAGAGATGGAGAGGCAGGGGGTGATGGGGACGGGGTAGAGGTGGCAACGGGACCACAAGACGCAGGCCTGGGGGGTTGGAGGTGAGATGGAGAGAGACTCCCAGGGACAGAGAGAGATGGAGAGGCCGAGACCCAGGCAAGGAGGTAGAGACACACAGGGAAATGGGGACATGGGACAGAGGTGGAGAGTCTGAGGTGCAGAGATGGAGACAGCCAAGGAGACACGCTGCAGAGGCAGAGAAACAGGAGAGCAAAGTGAGGTTTGAGGGGCACGATGAAGACAGCAGGAGACATCTGGAGAGACCCAGAGAGACCCCCAAAAGGAAAAGGGACAGAGACAGGCATGCCAGAAAGAGGGGAGGCAGGCGGCAGAAAAGAGATACACAAGGCAGGGTGACAGAGATGGAGAAGTCCTAAGGGGCAGAGATCCTCTGAGAGATGCAGATGCTGAGATGATGAGGACTCAGCAGTGGGGACTGAGAGAGGGGGGGCCTTTCTCCAAGAGACAGGTTGGAACATGGTGAGAGAGGACCAGAGGCAGAGAGACAGGGACCAAGAGAAAGAGGCATCGAGACACCCAGTAGAGGTGAGACCTCGGGCACATGGCTTCACCTCTCTGTGCCTTGGTTTCTCCATCTGTGAAATAGGGATACCCCGGGCACGACCCCCTCCCAAAAGCCTGTGTGAGGATACAGTGAGTTCACTCCTGTAAAGCACGCAACCAGCTCTCAGTAAATGCGAACCATTGCTATTCTCACCGTTGATTTTTATTAACATATCCAGGGAGACAGAGGAAAAGAGGGAGCCCCTGGGAGAGATGGAGATGGTGAGACACGGAGAGAGCAGCTGGGATGGGTGGGGGGAGCTGGAGACCAGGACATGGCAGGGAGGACACCACGCGGAGAGGTGGAGATGCGGAGAGGGGTGGGAGCAGGGATGGGAGACACAGACTCAGGGGGACAGTGGTGCCAACACAGACGCACACAGGGAGTACCAGGTACATAGAGCAGAGGTGGCCCTGGGGATTCACGGCAGAACGAGTGAGGGACCATGACAGGAACCCAAGTCCCCAGGAGCACCCCGACCCCCAGGATAAGGGTGGCAGAGAAGGGTGGAGGGTAGTGAGAAGAGGGAAAGTGACAAGGACTTCCAAAGGTCTCCCCGCAGACACCCCTCCCCGCCCCCGACCCTGAGACTGCTGAGCTGGCAGGGGGGCTCTGAGGATGAATGGTGGCTGAAGTCCTCCCCCTCCCATCCCCCACCACTTGGGGGGGCAACTGCTCAGGTCCCCAGGGAGGTGAGGTCACAGCCCCCCCATGGTGGGACATGACCTCATCACCTCAGGTAAGAGCTCCCTCTGCCTCTCTGTCATGGCCACCCCTGCCAGGGCCCCCCAGGGGCCCTCCCCAGCCCCACTCATGCTGGGACCCAGGCCTCTGACCACTCCGCCCCTCAGGGGGCCTGTTTCCGGCTGAGTCAGCGTGGGGGGGCCCAAGGCTGCGTCAATGAGGGGAGAACTGACGTAGACCCCCCCCCAAGACCGGTGGGGCCAGCCAAGGTGACTCAGGCCACCAGCCTGGGAGATGGACTGGCCTGAGGGGATGGGGGACTGAGACTGGGGCCAGCCTGAGAGCCACAGTAGGGATCTGATGATGGCAGCCCCTTCCACCTCCAGGGGAACCGGGGCTGCCGGCCCCAACCCCACTGCTTTAATCTAGGAGTCCAAGAGCCCAGCCCCTCCTCTCTCAGACTCAGGAGTCCAGACCCCCAGCCGCCTGCTTCCTCAGATCCAGGGGTTCAGCTCTCAACCCCCTCCTCCCTCAGAGCCAAGTGGCAGGTGTCCAGGTCCAAAACCCTTGTTTCAAGAAAGGTAGAGAAAACTTGTGGCCATTCTGCAATTTGGGGAGTGCTCTGTTGGGGAAGGTCAGGGGTCTAGGCATGGGTCATCAGTCCCCGACTAGTGACAGTCCCCTCGGCCTGCTTCAGCCCTCTCCCCCCCGGGGATGCGGGGTCATCTTCCCTCACTGTGGCAGCAGGAGGCCGGGGGGTGCAGCACAGGAGGTTGGGGCTTACTCAGGACTCCTGGGCCTTCCCCAGGGTTGGGGACACTCAGACTACTTCTGTGGAAAGGAGGGCAAGAAAGAGAGACAAAGACAGAGACACGAGTAAAGAGATGGAGAGGCAGAGACGGAGACTCGCAAACAATGACAGGAGAAGACTGTGACATCTGTGACAGAAAGAGAAAGAGACAGAGACGCAAAAAAAAAAAAAATTGGGACATATACAGACGCAGAGACAAACTCAGGCGCTCGGAGACAAAGACTGGGGGTGACACGGAGCTGAGACTCTGAGGGGTGATAGCTGTGGGGGGAGATGCCACTGGGAGATGACGGGGGACCCCAGGGGGTCCTTGCTCATGTGCTGGCCCCTGGGTGAGGTGGAGCTGGCTGGTGTGAGGTCAGCAGGTCCGAGTCTGTGTGTGTCCGTCTGTCTGTCCCTGGGGGGTCCTGTCTGGCCCCTGGGGGGTGACGGGGCAGGCGGGCCGCAGAGGCGGCCCAAACCTGTCATTAGTGGTGAGGGCCGTGACGGCGGCCCCCCCAGCCCCAAGCCGCGGTCCAGGGCCCGGCGGCCCCGCCCCCCCCCACCCCCTCCTTGATCCCTGAGGAATCCCGGGAATTGGGAAGTGGGTCCAGATGATGTTGACACAGGAAACGGTCAGCAGCTGCCCGGCCTCAGCCCCACAACCCCTCTGACCCCCACCCCCGGCCCCCTGCCGAGCCCCTCGGACCTGTGTCATCTCTGACGAAGGCAACCCTGGGCCCACACAGCACCCACCAGGATGTTTACGGGAGATGGGTAGGACGGGAGGCAGCCTCAAAGGGCTCTTGAGAAATGGGGTCTGGACTCCCAGACAGCTGCCCTCAGACCTAGTCCCCTGCCCCCTCCTCCCTCAGACCCAGAGGTCCAGACGCCCAGCCCCTCTTCCCTCAGACCTGGGAGTCCTGACCCCAAATGCTCTCTTCCCTCTGATCCAAGTGTCCAGACCCCCAGCCCCTCTTCCCTCAGACTCAGGATCTGGACACAAAGACACACGGTCCCAGGAGAGCTGAGTCCCCTCCTCACTGGCTGGAAAGCTGATTGGAGGTTCAGGGGAGAGTGAGGGATCATGTTCCCACCCCAGCCCCCAAGTTGACCTCCTCCCCCACCACTGGGGTGGGCCAAACCAGAAGCCTGGGGATCCCAGTCGGACCCATTTCCCTGTTTGCAGAGGGGGAAACAGACGGAGCTAGAAGCGGCTCCCTTCCCATGAGTCCCCTCTCCACCACCTGGGGCCTCAGACCTCTCGGATCCTGGCCCTCCCCATCAGGAGGCCTGGATGCCTTTGGGACCAGGGGACTCCGGAGCAAGGGCTCTGGCCTATGGCCTGACCCCCATTTTCTCATCACCCTCTTAGGTCTCCTGGTTGCTAGGGGGCCGCCCTAACAATGGGGCTCAGTGAGGTCTTCTGGGCCTCAGGCCCCCTGCCCCTGGTTGCTAGGGTGAAGACTCCCTGGCAACCAGGTCTCAGGAGCCTTTGGGTCACCTGGAGCTGCCTTTCAGGAATGTTTACTAAGCAGAGGGATTCCCTGGCAAGAAGGTCTCAGGGTGCCCACTCCTCGGGTCCCCTGGTTGGCTAGGAGGAGCCGTCTTAGACTCCCACCTGCTTTCTACCCAGGTTGCTAAGGAGTCTCTTCTAATGCCAGGGCCCCATTCCACCCACAAGGCCCCTTCCACCTGGTTGCTAAGGAAGCAACTCCCTAGCAACCAGGTGTGACCAGGCCAGTGTGACCCCCCCCTTCTTTCTTCCCAATTGCTAAGTGGGCTCCCTAGAAATAGAACTTAGAATTTTGGGGGCCTGCTGGGCATGCGGGCGGGGCCGAGCCGGTTGCTGGGGTGATAGCCTTCAAGGTCTCTCCCCACAGAGGCCCTAGGAGTCTGGGGAGGCAACATGGTGGGGTCTGGGATCCCCGCTTTGGGCCTCTTCCTGCTAATGCAGGGCTCAGTAGGTGAGGGGGCTGATGAGAGGGTCAGAGAGCTGAGCAGAGGCCCTCCTCACCCTCCATACAGCCTCCCAACACCGCTCTTTTCTTTCACAGATGGGAATGGAGTCCAGGGATTCTTCTATCCATGGAGTGAGCAGTGGAGGAAACCCTGGGTCCCCTGGGGATAAGGAGCCCAGACTAGACTCTTGGGTCTAAAGGGAGGAGGGGCTGGGGTCTTGACCCCTGGTCTGAGGGGAGGGCCTGGGGGCCTGGACCCCGGGGTCTGAGGGAGGAGGGGCTGGGGGCCTGGACCCCGGGGTCTGAGGGAGGAGGGGCTGGGGACCCGGACCCCTGGGTCTGAGGAAGGAGGGGTCTGGGGGCTGGACCCCTGGATCTGAGGGAGGAGGGCCTGGGGATCCGGATCCCTGGGTCTGAGGAAGGAGGAGCTGGGGGCCCGGACCCCTGGGTCTGAGGGGGGAGGTGCTGGAGGCCTGGAGTCCAGGGTCCAGCACGAAGTAAGCACTAGGCCGGCAGCCCCAGAGCCTGGTATGGGGTCAGGCTCTGTGAGGAAGCTGCTCCTTGCGTTGGTCCCCAGGCTGTGAGGGAGATGTCTGGGACCGGGAGAGCTGTGGGGGCCAGGCGGCAGTTGAGAACCCGAATCTCTGTCTGCGTCTACGATGCTGCTACCGCGACGGGGTCTGCTACCACCAGCGGCCAGATGGTGTGTGCCGGGGAGCTGGGGCCCCTGGGGTGGGGGCTGGTGGCAGGGACCCCTTGGCCTCACAGCTCCCTGCTTTGTGCAGAAAACATGCAGAGGAGGCACATGTGGGCACTTGGCTGGATGTGCGGAGGCCTCCTCTTCCTCATCTCCAGCATCTGCCTGTTCTGGTGAGTGGGGTCGGGGCTCGGGGGGCTCCCCTGCGCTGGGGGGCGGGGCCAGGTGGACGGCACAGCTGAGGGTGTCCCCTCCCTGCCAGGTGGGCCAAGCGACGGGATATGCTGCGGCTGCCGTGGTTCCTGAAGGGCAAGTGCAACCTGTCCCGGACCGTCTCTCTGTTATCCAAGGACCGGACACCGAGCGAAAGGAAGATGGCGTCCATTGGCAGCATGCCCATGGAGGGGGCTCTGGATGTCTCAGGGGGCACTGATGAGGAGCGCACGGAAGGGGGCGAAGAAACGGAAGCAGGGGAGGAGGAAGATTAGGGGCACCCCTGGAGGGATCCCTCAATACAGATATAGCACAGAGATGCATGGTCTCTTTTCTGAGAAGCATGAAGCAGGGGGCGGATAAGACCTGGAGGCCAAGAGAGAGAGAGAGAGACAGAGCGAGCGAGAGTGTGTGTGTGTGTATGTGTGTTTTGGGGGGGTGCCTGGGCTGTGATCATGGGGTGTGTGAGCTGACGGGCATCTGGGGTCCAGGGGTAAGTGGGGAGGATCCGAGCTGAGGGGGACTTGGGCTGATGGGGGGAGGCCTGAGCTGATGGGGGTCCTGAGTTGAGTGTAGGTCCTGGGCTGTGATTATGGGGGGTCTGGACTGAGGGGCTTGGGGTGAGTTGTGGGTGGCCTGGGCTGGGACTGCAGCAGGGCTGGGGGAGACATGGACCACCGTGCCCCTCAGCTGTCCTTCTGCCGCTGCCTGACAGCCTCTGCTGCCTGCCCTTGGGATCCTGCCGCCCTTGGACCAGCAGGCATTTGCCTTGCTTCCCACGAACGCCCAGACGACTATAGCTCTCAGACGCCCTAGTGGTGGCCCGGAAATTTTCCTGGAACTTCATTACAGTTGAAGATTCATCGTGCTCAGTCCTCTTTCCTCCACCCCTCCTTTCTCAGATAACAGAGCTACTCCAACCTACCCTCCATAAGTATGTCCCCAACAAATATCTTGCAAGTCTTCATCCCTCTGTCTGCATCTCTGGGGACCTCAAACTAACAGAGGAACCTGGGCTGAGGGAGGCCTGGACTCAGGGGGTGGGTCTGGGCTTGAGATCCTTGCCCCCCACTCCTGTCCCCCTCCATGAGGCGACAGCGTGAAGCTAGGCTCCTAGGTCCCCAAGGGCTTGGGCAGCCCCTCCCTCACCCCTGCCCCAGTGCCTCTCCAGACAGACATGAAGTACAATGAGGCAGAGCCCTTTATCCAGGGGAGGATAGATGGAGGACAGGTAGGCATCCTGGCAGCCAGATGATGGTGGGGCAGCTGCACATCTCCATCGTGTCCTGACAGGTGTGGCCATGCGTTCGGCTGTAGGAGGGAGGATGGGGTTAGTGGCTGCTCAGGACCCCTGCGTGTATCCCTGCATCCTAGGACTACAACCCAGGCGAAGGAGCCCCTTCCTCCCGCTTCAGTCCCTCACAATTGCCTGACGCACTTGCTCATTGGCTCCTTCATTACTCCGTGCCCTGACTTGCGGCACTTTAACTCACCGGAACTCAGTGGTACAAGGTGGGGAATGAGAGGCAAGGAAAGGCAGAGACGGAGAGACTTACACACAAAAAAGAGAGAGGGAGAGACAAATATGTCGAGGGAAGGATAGAGGCACAAAGATAAAAAAAGACATACACGGGGACAAAGAGAAAGACAGGCAGAGACAGAGATGATGAAATGGGGGGAGAAATGACAGGATAGGTTTGGCTCTGCACATCTTCTCAACTAATTTTGGTCCCAGAGGGAGAGAGAAGTGACCAGAGCCAGGACCTACAGGACCCTCTGTTAAAATTCCAGTTCTCTGTCCCTCATGTGCTGGAATCACCTCACCCTGCCATCATGGAGTCCTGTGTTTGGACAGGCCCGTTTTCCTTCTAAGAGGGGCCTACAGGCCAGTCAGCTTGGCCAGTTTCTGGCAAGTGGTTCTAGCAGCAGAGGTCTACCCAGCTGTGTTAGACTTCTGGGCAAGGTAAAGTGTTTCCAGGGGTAATTTTAACCACAGGTGGTTATTTCTGCATTGTATGCCAAATTTTGTGTTAGCTCATCTATGCATAAACTGTTTCCTCATCTGAACCACAGAACATAGCATATGATTGGACTATTTTCAAAATTCTCACAAAAAAAGGGTATATAACTGTCCTTCTGGATGCATAGAAGGAAAGTTAATTCATCACCTATAAAGAATGTCTTAGGACATTAGAATTTAATTCTTTTATGTAACCCCCATTTGAGAAACTGATTCAGTCACTCATCCATCCATTGTTTCACTTATCCATCCACCCACCCACCAACCCATCTATCCTCTCAGCTATCTACGTACCTATCTGCCCAAACATCCATACAACCCCGCATTCACCCATCTACCAGCATCAGTCCCACCATATCCATCTATCCACCCACCCATCCATCAACCAATTTATCCATCCATCTAACCCTCATCTAACCATCCATCAATCCAACCACATCCACCACCTACTTATCCATCAAGCAATTCATCCATTTATCCCTCTATCCACCCACCCATCCACCTATCCACCCACAACTCCATCTACCCATCCATCCATCAATCAATCTATCCATCCACTCATTCATCAATCCAGTCCATCCATCCATCCATCCACCCACCCACTGGATCATCAACCTCTGACTTCCTGAGTTCACTCTTTGCTGGGGCATGCTAAGAACAAAGACACCAGAGACCCAGGCCTTACCCTCCAGGGGCTCCCTTTTGGGTGGGAGAGATAGTATCAGCGCACACACATACAACACACAGTGATACAAGCAATAACAAGGGTAACTCAGACAATGTGAAGACCCAGAGAAAGGCACTGAAGTTCAGTTGGATCTGAAAAGACACCTGGTAAGTTTTCTGAGTGGAGTGCAGACAACAAGGGCACCCCCAGTGTAGGTGAAGGCATGGACAGAGGCCAGTTGGTGTGAGACAGCCTGGCCATCGTGGACTGAGGGAGGTCATTCTAACTGCAGAGAAGGCAGGAGATGTGAGGCTGAGATGTGGCAAACACACACGTAGTGAGTGCCTTGGATTTGACCAGAGGGCAACAGGGAGCCACAGCAGGTCTCTGGCAGAGGAGCGCACTCTGGAGAGTGCAACAGGCACCTCCGCTTTGGCAAGAGGTGGCAGCTTTTGGGGCCCCAGTGTCCTCCCTGGGTTGGGGATAGTAATAGCAGTGACCTCAGAGACTCTGTTACACTTGGAGGATTAAATGGGAAATAGGACTCGGTGCACCTGGGGACTGGAGCACAGGGACGAATAATCTCCAAGTGTTGGTGGAGCTAAAGGTGACTCTCCAGCCCTCACGCACGTCTGGGGCCAGGGTCTCATTTGTCTCTCCCGTCTGCACCCTTGCCTACTGTCTCTAGGTCTTCATCCTTTGGGTCTCTTCTAGTCTTTGCTTCTCTGCCTGCCAATCTTGACCTCTACCTGTCTCTCTCTCCCCATTGTCTCCGTCTCCGCACCTTTCCCTCTCCATTTCCATCTCTCCTGATGTCTCTCCATCTCTCCCCTCTGTCCTTCCCTCCCTCCCTCCCTCGCACTACCTCTCCAGCTCTCCGTCTGTCTCTTCATCTCTCCCACTGTCCTTCAATCTCTCCCGCTGTCCCTCCATCTCCCCACTGTCCCTCGGTCCCTCCAACTCTCCCCTCTGCCCCGCCCCGCTCCCCGCCTCCCCGCCCCTCACCTCGGGCTCACTCTTTGCCCGCACACGCCGCCCCAGGCCCGGCCTCGAGCGCGGCGAGCTGCAGGCGCACGCGGCGGGAGCCGGCGGCGGGCGGCTGGGGCGTGCGGGCGGCGGGGGGCGGCGCGCCGGCCGGCGGAGGAGGAAGCCGGCGCCGACCAGCGGCGGGAGAGCTTTCGCGCGAGGCGGGCGAGCGCCGAGGGCCGCAGGCCGTAGTCGCGCTCTAGCTCCTGGCGCGAGATCTCGATGTTGCCGGTGTACCAGAGGATCCAGCCGAGCAGGCTCAGGAAGACGAGCAGCGCGCCCGAGTAGATGAGCAGGTCGCCGAAGTCGCGGCCGCGCACCTGCAACTGCGCAAACACGCCGGTCAGCAACGCCGCCATGCCCGCCACGTCCATCGCCACGGCCAGCAACAGCGCCAACCGGCAGCGGCCCAGGCCGGACGCAGGCACAGGCGCGCCCGCCGGCGGGGACGGTGCGCCCGGCGGGGGCCCTTGAGAGGCGCACACCGCCGGCGCCGCCGCCATGGTCCTGCTCCACCGCAGCGGCTGTCTCCGACGGAGAGCGTTCCGCGTTACGGGTGCGGCCCGGACCGGGGCGGGGTCAGGGGACTGCGCCAGGTGTGCCCGGCACCCGCCTGTTCACCTGAGCTGGGCTGGGTGCGGACGGGCCCGGCCCGAGGGCGCCCTGGCTCTCAGAAGCCGATGCTGGGGGCAGCTGGGCGCACAGATTAGTGTGGCCCAGAGCCCCTGCATCCTAAGGAGCCTGAAGCAGTGCATGGTGAAAATCCGGGGTGCTCTAATAGAGGCAGCAGGGCAAACCCCAACATTCCTGTTTGCTCAGATTTCTCCTGGGGCCTCTGGACTGTCAGGACTCATTACGGCGAAGTCCAAGGGCACAGAGATGGGCCAGACAAGGCCCCTGCCCTCAAGGAGTTTCTGGACATAATCACAACTCAAGGTGCCCTAATGGAGGTGACATAAAGCACCGTCATTCCTTCTGTTCACTTGGAGTCTCTCCAGGCCCTGTGCTGGTGAGGCTGAGGACTCAGAGTTATATCAGGCGAGGCTCCTGCCCCTTAAAGAGGACCCTGACAACAGAAAATAAACTTCCCTAAAGTGTAACGGGTGTGACATAGGGCGGAATGGAGGGGGAGAACAGGGCCGGAGTCCGCGAGGCACAGGAAATAAGCTGGGCGAACAGGTATGCAGGCCCTAAAGAAACCAAGACCTTTCCCAGGCAAATCTCTTTTCCTCCAAACACACCTCGCCCTTAGAGGAAATGGGTGGCAGTCTGCGAGAAGGGTCCGTCCGGCTTCTCCCTAGACTCGAAATAGTGCAGCAGCTTAAGAGGACACTGGAGAGGGCGAACTGAGAGGGAGCTCCCGGGGTTAGCCGAAGTTTTCCGAAAGTGGCCGAATGGAGACCGAGTGTTTCCGAAGAGATTCGAAGCGGGCATGGGCCAATAAGAGGGAAGCTGGCCGCCCTTCGGAAGAGTGTTTCCGGAGAGTTCCGAAAGTGTCCGACCGAGCCTGCTGCCTTCGTCGGGAATAGCCGAGGGCCTACGAAGAACCTGGAAGCACCCGAAGTCCCTGCGTGGTTTAAATAGTTCAAGCACTAACAAGTTCATTCATAAAACAAATGTTTATTGAGCACCCATCCTGTGCCAAGCTCTGAGTGGCAATATTGGAGAGAAGCCGTTGAGGAAGGGGACTTGGGACTTCTGGAAAGGGACACACTCGGAAATCCAGCGGTGGAATTCCGAAAACACACGAAGGGCCCTCGGAACTGTACCACTCCGCGTCGTGAACACGCCCTCGGGTCCCTAGCCGAAGAGTTCCGAAAGTCCCCGAAGGGTTTGAGACTGACTGGAGGAAATAGCCGAACGTGGCCGAGCTGCCTCGGAGGCGGGCGGAAGGAGGCGGGGACAGGCGACGGCGCGCACGTATCCTGAGAGGAAGCGGAAATACGTGTTGGTATTAAAGGCGTCGCCCCGCCCCCCGCCTGCTTCTTTCCGTATCCGGCCGCCGCCACGAGAGGAGGTGAGTTGCGTCCGTGTGACCCCGTCTCGCGCCTGCCACCGGGTGTCTGTGCCCCTGCCTGCCTCTCTCACTGCGCCCCTCGCGCTCTTGGCTTCACCCCGGCCCCGCCGCCTTAGGTCGCTGTGGATTCTCACCTCTCGTCCCCCTCAGTTAGTCTCGGCCGCCCAGGTTAGCGCCGCCACCTTAGGCCGCCCAGCCCCGCCTGGCAAATTTCTAGGCGCCCTCGGCCCACGTGGTGCTCCCGTTCGTCAGGTCCCCAAACGCAGCCTTCCTCTCTTGTCCGGCGTCGGCCTGCTGCGCCCCTGACGTTTTCCCGCGCTCCTTTCTCCGCAGCTGCCGCCATGTCCGCGCACCTGCAATGGATGGTCGTGCGAAACTGCTCCAGCTTCTTGATCAAGAGGAATAAGCAGACGTACAGCACCGTAAGCGGGGCCCCGACGGCTGGGTCGGAGGGAGGGACCTTTACGATTGCTGTGCCCCCTCCCTCTTCACGACCGCGTTGCTTCCTTCTTCCCAGGAACCCAATAACCTGAAGGCCCGCAACTCCTTTCGCTACAACGGGCTCATTCACCGCAAGACTGTGGGCGTGGAGCCGGCGGCGGACGGCAAAGGGGTCGTGGTGGTCATGAAGCGGAGATCCGGTGAGCATTTGCCCTGGCTGGGCCCAGGCAACAGACCCCCATTCGGGGCAGGGGGCTGTGGTTTTTTACTGTCGGGCCGCTGGAGTGATTCTGCTATTGAATGGAGGATTCCTGGGGTCAGGACGTTTACCTGGGGGGCTGGCTCCTCTCCAAGCTAGCACACCAGCTATGTGAGCTTATCATCTAAAAAGTGGAGAAATTAAAAGCACCTGGAGTCCGCTGCGTGTTTGTCAGGGTTAAATTACAGGGTTGCACGGTTTGCTGATGTTTTCAGAATAAATGCTTGAAGCAGGTGGAAGTCTGTCTCCACCGGTGGGAAAATTCAGGCAAACAGATGGGGAGCCGCCTTCTAGGTCCCGCATAGGAAGTGACAGCTTGGGTCTGAAGCAGTAGTTTGGCTCCCATTCTGGCTTCGAGGACTCAGAATGGGGCGCTCAGCATCCCACTTCCCTGTGTCTCAGGCACAGACGGGCTCTTTTAGACTCTTAGAGGAGGTCACGGAGAGGCAGGGGTGTGTCTTGGTAACAGTTGAGTCATGGTATCACACCCGCAACACTTTTGTTTGTAGGTGGGCAGTGGGTTTTAAGAGATAGGAATGAGCTTTTTCCCGGATCCCTGATTAGGACTGGTTTCTCTTTGGGTTCTGAGCCCTGTGTCCTGTTCAGTGACAGCAGCAGCCACATCTGCCTTCTGTTCTCAGAAGGAAGGGGGTTAACTTCCCTTCCCAGAAGCACAGACCCGGGAGCAACCAGTCGTTTGTGCTTTGGGGCTTCTCAGGTTCCCACAATACCAAGAACCCTGTTCTGGTGCGCTGGGTCCCAATAACTTTGCTTTCCCTTCTTGGATTGTTGGGTGGCTTTTCCTCGGCTGTCAGGAATCGGGTTGACCTGAGGAGGTAACGTGGGCTCTCCTCTGGGGTCAGAAGGCTAACATCAAATCCCCAGTATGGTACAGGGACCTTGGCATCTGGGGGGAAACCCAGGAGCACAGGATCCTAGCCGGGACCCCATCAGCTCTTTGGCACAATAAAGGGGGTGTTTTCCTTTTTATCCTTGGCAGGGGAGTCCAACTCTACCTGTGCACAGGTGAGGGGCAGGTGTTTTCCCCAGGACTCTTCTTACCCTGGTCCTCCTGTGGCTCCACATCACCCCAGCCTCACAGCTTGACGTTTTAGACACTTGTTGCTGAGCGGGTAGCTAGGGCCCAGGAGGGTGCGGAAGGGAGAGGAGCCAGAGTTGCTTTCTGGGGAGCGCTCGCCACCTGGTCAGCATGGTGCCAGTTGCCCACCTCACCCAGGCTCTCCTTGGAGTCACACAACTGTGCATGGGACCTTGGGCAACCGAGTCCTGGTCCTTTTGCCTCTGCTTCCACTTCTGTCCAGTGAGATGAGCAGTGTTGTGTCTCAGGGACAGGCTGGGGAGGAGACGCCAATACAGGTGCAGGGCCTGGCCTGTGGTCATCCTCGCCATTGTCCTGTAAGTTGATGTTTGGAGGTGGGGCTGCCTCCCAGGCTCACACAGTCCGGGCACTCAGGTTTTCTGGGTGGGATTGTGCCCTCACCCCGGGGGTGGGCACCAAAGGTCCAGACCGTCTGACCCCTGGGGCCCCTCTTCTCCCCACCCCACCAGGCCAGCGAAAGCCGGCCACTTCTTACGTGCGGACCACCATCAACAAGAATGCCCGGGCCACCCTCAGCAGCATCCGGCACATGATCCGAAAGAACAAGTACCGCCCGGATTTGCGTATGGTGAGTGGGGGCTGGAGAGCTGATGCCAGGTGGTGGAGGCGACTACATAGTGGGGACCCAGGGAGCCTGGCCAGTGCTGTGAAGGACGGCCCTCTGGTGACTGGAGCTGGACCTGCGCTCTGGGGAAGAGGGAACGTCGCCCATCTGGGAGGCATGTCGGGGTGGGGGGCACGGCTGGTGGGGTGTGTGACCTGAGCCCGCCTCGCCTCTCAGGCTGCCATCCGCAGAGCCAGCGCCATCCTGCGCAGCCAGAAGCCTGTGATGGTGAAGAGGAAGCGGACCCGCCCCACCAAGAGCTCCTGAGCAATCTGTCCCCTTCCCTAATGCAATAAAGCTGTCAGCTGACTTGCCGCAACGTCCTTGCCTTCCAGGCCATGTCCCCAGGGGCTCCCCTACCAGCCGGCAGCACACAGTTGTCCCAGTGTCTTGAGTCTGGAGGGACAGGTCCAGATGGGGGAGCTGAGCCCCAGCTTTTGTGTGTGTCCTTGGCCCGTCGTTTCTGCCCATCATGGAGGGCTGGTATTGGTGTGAATTTTTACATTTGACGCTCAGAGGTGATTGTCCAGTACCGCAAAAAAAGGAACTGCAGGTTAAGTAAAGTCTAGAATCAGCATGATCCCATACTCTGCTAATGCATGACAAAGCTTCAAGAGAGACATTAAGTGGAAATTTTTGATTTTTTAACATTAAGTCTAAGGTTTCTGAGGGGTGGGCATCTAGACCAAGGGTCAGCGCATCTTCTGTTTTGTATAGTTCTGTGGCCTGTGTCACAGTGTTGGCAGTGTGGCCTTTGAAGGAGGAAGCATTTACAGTCTGGGTCTTTGCTGTTTGGGACCCCAGCCTCTTCCAGCCTGAGGCAGGCTGGCCCTCCCCTCCCACTGTGCGTCCTGGGGCAGCTCAGCCTCTCTAGGGGGCTCTGCAGGTGTGAAGTGAGCATCCTAGGACTTGGGGGTGGACAGGGCCCTCAGTATGCCTTGGCCTTTGGTCTGGGCCCAGAACTGCACTCATGGGCACCAGTGCAGCTCCTGAGTCCAGAAGCCTGTGGGACTCTGTCCACACCTGGGAGAGGGGGACATAAGCTGCACCTGCCACCCGGGAGGAAGGTGGCAGCCTCAGGCTTCCTGCCAGCAGGCATGTCCTTAAACAGCTGTTTTTTGGCGAGGAGCCCACCTGGCCAAGTGTTTCTGCCTCTTGCTACACTGGGGGTGAGCTCAGCGTCCCTGCAGCACCGTCCCTCACCTGCTTCCTGCTCTCAGCAGGTGACCGCCCTCCCTACTGCCCTCAGCTGCCCCTGACTGTTCCAGCGCAGCCTCCTCTCCAGGCCTCCCCCAGGCTGCACAGCTCTGTCTCAGAGGTCTTTTCTGACCACTGGGTCTAACGTCGGTTCTCCTAGTTGCTTCCTTGTGTTTATTACAACCGTGACGTGGTCCTCATAGGCGCTGCCACTTGGGCACCTGCCTGGGTCCTTCTGCCAGCTTAGCGGCTAGCTGTGTGGCCTTGGGCAAGTAACTGGAGCCCTCTGCCTCTTGTCAGAATTAAGTGGGCTAAAGCAGCTGTCCCAAACCTTTTTGGCACCAGGGACTGGTTTTGTGGTAGTCCATTTTTCCAGGGACTGGGGGAGGGGAATATGGTTCAGGCAGTAATGCGAGCCATGGGGAGCAGCAGATGAAGCTTTGCTTTCTGCCTCTCATCTGCTGTGCAGTCCAGTTCTAACAGGCTGCGGACCAGTATTGGTCCACGGCCCGGGGATTGGAGACCCCTGGGTTAAAGAATGCAGGTAAGTGTGGTAATTAGCTGTTGGTGTAGCGTTTTAAGCTTACGACAAGCTGGATGGCATCTCTAACTTCAGATGGGCCTGTGGTGTGCGTGTGTACACATATGTACATACACGTACACTTGAGGAGTGGCTGTTTTCTCTACCCCAGATGTGCCATGAAGCAGGTGTCATCCCCGCCTTACAGATATAGAAACCGAGGCTCAGATGGGTAAAGGTCACCCACATCATTGCTCCTGGTGTGTTTCCTGTGCACCTATTATGTGCCAGCCACTATGCCATGGGCCAAGGATTCAGGTCTCTGCCGTCCTGAGGACCCTGTGCGAAGACGACAACCCTGCCCCTACTTCACAGCTCTGTGCTGAGGCCCAGGAGCTCCACACACCTGGACAGTTCCTGACCCCCTTCCCACCCTGCTGACCCCTCCAGCCTTCCTCAGTGGCCGTGAACCTGATCGCTTCCTCCCCTGGACCATCCACCCTCACCCCACTGGGGTCTGTCCTCAACCCAGGTGGAGTGGCATCCTTAGTTCCAGGTGGAACTTAGGCAACTTAACATCTGCTCAAAACCCTCCCACGGTTCCCATCCCACTCCGAGTGAAAGGCAGCCCCCTAGCCTTGGCTGGTCGGGCCCATCTCCACTCGGATGCCCAGCCCCTTGCTGTCCACCCACAGCACGCGGTTCTGCCTGGGAGCATCTGCACTAGCTGTGCCTCTGGAAGGTGCTTCCCCACAGGGAGCCAGGGCCTCTTACTCTCACATGTTGCCGGGCAGTGAGGTCTCTCCTGATCACTTTTCTAACCCTTTGGCCAGCATCCGGGTTCTTAGTTCCCTGACCAGGGATCGAACCCACGCCCCCTGCAGTGGAAGTGCCAAGTCTTCAGACTGCCAGGGAAGCCCCTCTTTTGGGAGACTCTTAAAAATCAAAACCCACCCCCACCCCGGCTTCATTTTTCTCCGCAGCACTGAAGTCCATCTAATGGGTGTGTCCTGTGAGCCAGTACTTAGCCCGGCACCCCAGCACACCAGATACACACAGCACTGAGCTGCTCACCCATGTGGCAGCCGGTCGTCAGATGGTGTCCGTCCCCTTGTCTGCCCCAGAGCCCTGCTCCTCTAGGCCCTTAGCCCACGTGGAGTCCGTCTGGTCACCTGAACCCCCAAGATAACTACCTCCCTCTGTGGCCTCAGTTTCCTCCTCATAACAGCCTCACTCAGTCTCTGGACCTCTAGCCCTGTGGGTGGCCAGGCCATCAGGGGTGGCCGGGCTGGGGATGCCAGGCCAGGGGAACCAGGAGAGGGCTGGTGGGAGGGAGCAGGTCTCGGTCTTGAGGCTCTGCTGCTGGAGCCACAGTGCTGCAGGCACTCCAGGCCTCAGCTTCCCATCTCCCTCCTGGGGAAGGAGAGAGCTTGGCCGCAGGTGTGGTTTGTATGGGGGGCCATCTATGCAAACTTTGTTTTCTCACAAGTGATGTATGTTGGCATGGAAATTGGAAAAGCAAAGAATACAAGATTTAAAAAATCATAAATAGGGCTTCCCTGGTGGCGCAGTGGTTGAGAGTCCGCCTGCCAATGCAGGCGACACGGGTTCATGACCCGGTCCGGGAAGATCCCACATGCCGCAGAGCGGCTGGGCCCGTGAGCCATGGCCGCTGAGCCTGCGCGTCTGGAGCCTGTGCTCCGCAACGGGAGAGGCCACAATAGTGAGAGGCACGCGTACCACAAAAAAAATTTAAAAATAAATAAATAAATAAATACCCGGACACATCATAGTAAAAACGCTGAATGCCAAAGACAGGGAAAATCTGGAAAGCATCATGAGAAGAGCAACTCACGTGCAAGGGAACTGCAGTAACACTAACTGCTGGCTTCTCGGCAGGAACAGTGGGGCCAGGAGGCAGTGAGGTTACAGGCAAGTGCCCAGAGAGATGCCCGCACCCTTCCCGTCCCCCACCACCCACAGCATCCCCCTCCAGTTCCACATCTGCCAGTTCGTACGCTTGGGTGAGTCACTAGTCTCTCTGCGCCTCAGTTTCCCTACAGATGAAACAATAAGGTTGTTTCAAGTGTCTGATTCCTCAGGGCTCCGCAATGCAGAGATCTTGGTTTTGTTTGCTGCTGTTGTCTCCAGTGCTAATCCGGGGAATGTCTGCAGAGAGTGTAGGGCGCACCCTTGGCAGCTGCCCCGCACAAGGTCACTCAGAGCAGTGGAAACTCAGGGCTGAGACATGTTCTGTTCATGGGAGGGACTGGCCTTGATTATAGTTCCATCTTCACGGAAACCTCAGATACATCAGGGCTCCATCACTCCTCAACCTCTGTGCCTGTGACACGTGCATATGAATAGACCTTACTTCCTAAGGTCCTTGTGGTTAAATGTGCAGAAAGCTTGTAACATGGCCGGCCAGGACAAGCCCACAAATCTTACTTGCATGAATGAACAGTTTATTACAAATTATCTTGAGCAGATGGACTCAAAACAATCACAAATGTCTTCCCATTTCTATAACTATTTGCACACAAAACGATGCTCGTGTTTTTCCGAGCACTTTGAGGACAGATCCACACATGCTAGTAACTGTGACTCCCAGTCTGCATGAGTTCTGTGAATACACCGCTGTGTCCTCTGCTGCATTCCCTCCAGGCTGTTTCTTCCCAGTCCAGGAATTTTAAAAATCTCTTTGTTTCTCTTGTAGTCATTTGCTGTAATAAAATCTATTCTTTAAAGTCTTTAATTATGAAAATGACATGAGCACGTGGTTTGGAGACATGCAAGGAGCCCAGGATCCCAGCTCTGGGATCCCACGATGCCGCCTGGCATGTGGGATCTTAGTTCCCTGCCCAGATATTGAACGCGTGCCCCCTGCGGTGGAAGTGCAGAGTCTTCACCACTGGACCGCCAGGGAAGTCCCTTGTGTTTCATCTTGAAAACTGTTCACAATCATCCACCTGTGGGCCTTGAGCACCCCAGGCCTGCTGAGTTCACCCTGACTGTATGTTACCCCCATGGCCCTGGGCCAGGTTCTCACATCAAAACCAGCACATTTGTTTTAGTACCTTCACTTAGTGTAGCATTTATAGAGGAGATGCACCCAAGGGCGGGGGAGGGGGGGGACACTATTGTCTTCACGATTTCTGTGTAACTCCAAAACTGTTGTAAAAAAAGTCTTTTAAAGATAGACTAAGATAGTGTTCACCTCTCAGGTTGAGAAACACCCAAAAGTTGGGTAAAAATCAAAGTGCACTTATTAAGGCCATTGTTGGGGGGATGGGCACACTTACGTCACTGACAGCGTCAATTGGTACAAATTTACGGGGAACAGTTTGGCCATGTCTGTACAGAATTACAAATGAATGTGTCCTATGGCACAGGGATGTCACTTGAAAAGGTTGACTCTGTTCCTTGTGTGCCACGGGATCCATGCACAAAGGTCATTCTTTCCAGCTTAGTGTGACATACATTAGGGCACAGCTGAGGGCAGGGAAGGGCTATGAGTGCTGCAGGACAGATGGCCAAGATGTGCTAAGTCAAAAAGCCCAGGTGCGACGTGCTGTGTTATACACAGATGAAACGC